AAGGGAAGGGAAGAGAAAGGAAAAATTGAAAGGAAAAGGAAAGGAAAGGAACAAGAAAAAATAAAAGGGGAAAAATAAAAGGAGGAAAAATAAAAGGGGGAAAAATTAAAAGGGGGGAAAATTAAAAGGGGGAAAAAGGGAAAGAAAAAGGAAAAAAAAGGGGGGGGGGAATAAAAGGGGGAAAAAAAAATAAAGTACAAAAGGAACAAGGCTAGGAACAAATAAGAGAACCAGCCTTGGACCCAGGCCAGAAAAATAAAACAAACCAACAGAGAAGAACAAATTAAGAACACCGAGATCCTTGGTGACGTATCCACTTCAGCAGGGGCCGGGCTGCAGCCACGCCAGGGACAAAGGGTGGACGCTGCAAAGGGACCGGCGTTCCCGTAACCCGGGGAGGGACCGGCGCGCTCCTGCCCTCACCTTTTCGAAGCTTTTCAGCGTAACCTCGTACACCAGCTCCGCGTTCGCCTGGATGCCATATTTCGGCTTCCCTGCCTCGCCGAAGCCGTACCTGAAAGGGCAGCAAGAGGCTGTCAGAGGTGGGGGGTGGTGGTGGAGGGGGTAAATCTTCATTTCGGGAGTGTTTGGCCATAAAAACAGACCCACGTTGCCAATTCTGTCTCACACCCAGCTCTGTGCCCGCAGCTTTTTAACTTTTGGGGGCGTGATGTTATTCTCCATGAGCAAAGACACCTGACATGCATTATATACTGTTAGTGTTATAGATAATGTTATATATGTTTTACGTATGCGGTATATATAATGTTATCTATAATAATAATTAATAGAACGCATTAGATATTGGGACTCATCCTTTCCGGTTGCATCAAATCAGTCTTTTTATACAGGTTTCTCTCCAGCCTAAGGACCCAGCCCTGGCGATTTCCAGGGAGACGTTCTCCTTTGCAGCCACAGGACACAGATAAAGCCTATTTCCCTTATTTTTAAAGCACATCCAGATTCCTGCCTACGTGCCACCGGCCACTCTTGCCGTCCCCGTGGCATTGCTATCCCGAGGCTCTCCTGGAGAGTCCTGTTTTGGGGGATCGTCATCTTCCACCGGTGCTAAAACGACCTTGGATGCTGGAAGCTTAAAACTAGACGGCGGGGGTGCTCCTTACCGTGGCCCCAAGTAGAGGATGCAGTGTTCTCCCCTCTGCATCTTCTCCAGGGCTTTGTCGATGCCGATGGGGATGTCGTGGTCCTCCCCTTCGCCCACCACGAACTTCACATCTTTGCAGTCGAACCTGGTGCCGCCACAGAATCCCTCCAGGTGAACTGCAGAGGGGGGGATGGGAGAGGATCGCACCCGGAGCCGCCCAACACCCAAACCGAGGCGAGGTGGACTCCAAAAAAAGCATCTTATAAAATATCTCATAAAGGGTATCTCCCGAAATCCGGCAAAGGCCCTGGAAGAGGGGAAGACACGGGGCTGGGGGCAGCCAAGGAGCCCCTGGGGAGCAGAGAGGGATGGGGAGGGCTTGGAAACATTGCTGAAAAGCAAGACAGGCACATCTCGTCTAACCAAGGACCAGACAACAGATAAACATCATGACTAATATGTTCCCCTCGTACTCAACTGCACGAGTCAAGTCTTACTGGAACTGGATCTGGCTCCTGGCACGCCGCCACCCAGAGTTTATCACGGCGATTACAAATCTTCTATACGGCGCTATACCGCCTCGCCTTCTACCTCGAAAACAAGGCTATGTTCTCCTGCCTCTAAGAACTCAAAGTACAAGATAAACATTATTATATTTTTTATTTTTTTTTATCTTTAACCAATAACCGTGCTGTTCCAGCCCCAGACGCTGGCAGAAGCGCAGCCGGAGCGGACAGCGGGTACCTGGCACATTCGCCACCTGGTACTCCTGGCTGGGTTTCCACAGCAAGATGATTCTTTATTTATTCGAACCTGAAGACGGTGCGGGCTTTGGGGCCAGTTTTACGTTCTCTGCGCTCTGCTCGCAGGGTACGAGGCATAGGCACGCGGGTAGGTATAAAGTAAAAGCGATTCCATAAGGAACTCCTACGTAGCGTTAAAAAAAAGCCAAAACAAACAAAAAAAAAAAAGCTTTTCAGAGGGAAAATTCACGGTAGGCATCACAACCGGGTTTAAGGGCTTTGCAGCCTGGAAAGACGAGCTTTACCTTTGCTCGCTGCAGAGCAGAGAGAGGAGACGGCGGCGGTGTAAGCGCTGCTGAAGGAGGGAGAGGAGGGATGTTTGGAAAGAAAACAACCCTCAGGGCTGGGGGCTGCTCTCAGAGCCCCCCCAGCACCGCACGGAGCCGCAGGATGCGACCGGAGCTACAGCGGGGCACGGAGCGTTGCGTGGCGAGTGCACGAAGACACCGTGCCGGACACAGCCGAGGGGGTCCGGGGTCCCTACGGGAGAGCTGCAGCCTGGGCTGGGGGAAACCTGCCCGTCTCTGGAGACATCCCTGCCCCACGGAGACCTCCCTGCCCCACGGAGACCTCCCTGCCCCAGGACCTACAGAATGTCACCAGGATGAGACGCGCGGACCCAGTGAGACCACGGGCAGGTCCTCGTTCCCCGAGCAGGTCCAGCCCTCGGACACAGCCCTCGGATGGTCTCCCCACCGCAGGGAGGGGACACCAAGCTCTGCCTCGTCACCCCCCTCCCGCCGCCAAAGCCAGGCTGGGACTGAAGGGCAGCAGAGCGGAGGACGCTCACGTCCTTGTCAGCTCCCCGGGAAGCATCCCGCATCCATCACTGCCGCGCAGCGACCACCAAGCTGAGGCTGACGCGTGCTCACCCGGCTCGGGACAAGGACAAAAGGCAGATCCAGCTCCTTCGGGGTTGACCTCTGCTTTTGCGTTACCCAAAACCAAGCTGGCTATTTTCGCAAGCGTAGAAAAGCGGAAAATTCAGCCTAAAATACAACGTAACCCAGCAACGCCACAGCACCACGCCATCGCCCTGCACCTTCCCAGCAAATACGGCCCCATAAGCCCCGACCCCAAAAGCAGCGCTACAGCTCTCCCAGGTCCCCCGTCCCCAGCGGGATGCGGCAGCGACGGAGAGATCCCGCTTTAAAACAGGACACACCGGAGGATGCTACGATCCTTCCCTTCGAGGATAGTTTCGTTCTATTTTAATTGCTCCATAAAATACACCGGGCAAAGGGAGGGGAGGGTAAAATCTCCGCTCGGGTTTCCAGGAGCAGGTCAGCTGGCTGCGGTCGCTCTTGGATTACAGGGGGGGATGTGTGCTGTTTTTGCACTTCAGA